CCTCCCTCCTTCCTTTACCCTCCTCTTCCACTCCCAACAACGTGTTATTAGACACGAGTGGGCGGCGTTGTTTTTGACAGCATATCCACGATCGTGTCTTAGCGCTCGCACGCCCTCACGCCCGCTAGCTCACTCTCTTGCCCTCTCCGGTCAAACGAGTATATCCGTTATTATTATTATTATTATGTGATTACTAATCTGGTCTCTCTCTCTCTCTCTCTCATATCCATCTAACCTCCAACTCTTTCTTCCACAGGATGGACTGGCTAACGCACAACGGCATAAACACAAGAACACAAACAAGGAGAAGAAATGCCTCACGAGAAGGGAAAAGAAAAAACGGCTCAAGCAAAGTAACAACAGTGACCAGCTACGGAGCTCCAAGAAAAACAGCAGTAACAGTAGCGATCAGCTACGGAGCTCCGAGCTTCGAAGTCCCCACTCTGCTGTTGCTGGTCTTGGCGCTGGCCGCCTCTTTGGCGACTTCGCAGTGCCCGTGGCCGCGGGAGATCGCCGAACTGAACGGGTCGTGCCTGTGCGCGTACAACGTGCAGAACGAGCTCTCCATACAGTGCACGGCGGTGAACTTCACGTTGCTGATGACCGTGCTTCACCAGGGCTCCGTGGCTGACGTGCCCCTCGACCTCCTCTACGTCAACAACACCCGTGTCAGTGTCCTCAATCCACGCACCTTTGATGGTCTTCTCATCGAGAATATCCAGGTGAGGGAATACCCAGGTGAGGGAATACCCAGGTGAGGGAATACCCAGGTGAGGGAATACCCAAGTGAGGGAATACTCAAGTGAGAGAATACCCGGATGAAGGAATACCCAGATGAGACAATATCTACGTAAGGTAATATCCATATGAAACAGTATCTAATGTAAGGTAATATTCAGATGATACAATATCTAACGTTAGGTAATATCCACTATAGACAATATTCAGGTCAATGTACTTTTATAAGATCTTCAAGACTACATCTGAAACTGCCTAGTCTCCGTCAAGAGTATCAGATGCTCTCAACACAGTATTCCACCACCATAAGTTCCAAACACTGTCCTCCCCTCCCCAGTTCTGTGTATGCTCAGTTCTCCAGTGTTACTCCATCACTAAGTGATTCTTTCTTCTCCACCAGTGACTTTATTCTCCAGCAATGTCTACAACGGTTTGCTTCACTGCCCCTGTATACTCCAACGTTATATTTCCACATCCAACAATAATCCAGCACTCTTCAACATCCGTAGAGAGAGAGAGAGAGAGAGAGAGAGAGAGAGAGAGAGAGAAGAGAGAGAGAGAGAGAGAGAGACCACACCTATAGCAACATGACTTAGGGATTCCAGATGCGTGCACGTCCCGTAAAGCAAACACACACACACACACATTGGGTATCAGCCAACTTAGCGGATCCTACTGGCTTTCCTGATATCAGCCTTCACCACCACCAATCAGCAATCCCCACTACCACCATACATCAACCACAACCACCAACAATCACCATACAACAACCACCACCACCAACAACCACTACCACCATACTATCCACCAACAACAACCACCAACAACCACTACTACTACCACTCCCTCACATTGTACCATTCCTCAATCTTTCCCAGTCTGAGAATCAAGAAATATTTTTTTCCAAGGATATTCTGCCAATCTTTCTCATTCTGAACCTAATCTTCCTCATTCTTAATTTACTCTTCCGAATTCTTAATATATTCTCCCTTTCTTAACCTCTCATTTTTATCTTAATCCTCCCCATTCTTAACCTAATCTTTATCATATAGTTTGTCCCTCCAACCGCTTGTGAAAATTCTCTCTCTCCCCCCTCTCCCTCTCTCTCTTTACACAGAGTTTGACAATGTTAGGTTAAAGATCCCTAGCTTTATTAACAATCTAAGAGCTGTTACCTACATCAGCTGATTTGAAAGCATTTTTATTGTTATGAAACATAAGTAGGGAACAGGATGAAGTTAGAGCCATCTGTGGGCCAGCATTTTCATTTGATCAACTGCCTTTATCTCGTTGTCATCATAATGCTGTACGAATGTGTTCCAGACTCGAGACATCCTGGGGAAAAATTCTCTCTCTCTCTCTCTCTCCACGTTTTACATCACCCATTTTAAGACACACCACAGGTATGCAGACTGCATCAAGACAACGTTTCGCCCACCAATACAGAGAAATCATTTCCTTGTATTGCTGTGACACAAGTCAAATGTACTCATCTACTTGTGGTTGCAGGGGTCGATTCACAGCTCCTGGCCCCGCCTCTTCACTGGTGGCTATTAAGTCTACTCTCTCCCTGCTCCATGAGCTTTACACATACCCAAATAACCCGCACACAAAAGAGAGAAGCTTACGACGACGTTTCGGTCCGACTTGGACCATTGACAAAGTCATACCTCTTCTTAAAGCTATGTATGGATCCTGCCTCCATTACGTCACTCTCCAGATTATTCCACTTTCTGACAAATCTGTGACTGATGATGTGTTGTGTTGCAGTTTTATTCGTGTGGGATCTTTAGTGACAACTCTGTGACTAATGACGTGTTGTGTTGCAGTTTTATTCGTGTGGGATCTTTAGTGACAACTCTGTGACTAATGACGTGTTGTGTTGCAGTTTTATTCGTGTGGGATCTTTAGTGACAACTCTGTGACTAATGACGTGTTGTGTTGCAGTTTTATTCGTGTGGGATCTTGAGTGACAACTCTGTGACTAATGACGTGTTGTGTTGCAGTTTTCTTCGTGTGGGATCTTTAGTGACAACTCTGTGACTAATGACGTGTTGTGTTGCAGTTTTATTCGTGTGGGATCTTTAGTGACAACTCTGTGACTAATGACGTGTTGTGTTTGCAGTTTTATTCGTGTGGGATCTTTAGTGACAACTCTGTGACTAATGACGTGTTGTGTTGCAGTTTTATTCGTGTGGGATCTTTAGTGACAACTCTGTGACTAATGACGTGTTGTGTTGCAGTTTTATTCGTGTGGGATCTTTAGTGACAACTCTGTGACTAATGACGTGTTGTGTTGCAGTTTTATTCGTGTGGGATCTTTAGTGACAACTCTGTGACTAATGACGTGTTGTGTTGCAGTTTTATTCGTGTGGGATCTTTAGTGACAACTCTGTGACTAATGACGTGTTGTGTTGCAGTTTTATTCGTGTGGGATCTTTAGTGACAACTCTGTGACTAATGACGTGTTGTGTTGCAGTTTTATTCGTGTGGGATCTTTAGTGACAACTCTGTGAAGAACTAAAAGCTATAAATGAAATCGAAAGAAACCCAAAGTATTTCTTCTCCTATGAAAAATCAAAATCGAGAACAACGCCCAGTATTGGGCCCCTACTTAAACAAGATGGGTCCTACACAGATGACAGCAAGGAAATGAGTGAGCTACTCAAGTCCCAATATGACTCAGTTTTTAGCAAGCCGCTAACCAGACTGAGAGTCGAAGATCAAAATGAATTTTTTATGAGAGAGCCACAAAATTGATTAACACAAGCCTATCCGATGTTATCCTGACGCCAAATGACTTCGAACAGGCGATAAATGACATGCCCATGCACTCTGCCCAGGGCCAGACTCATGGAACTCTGTGTTCATCAAGAACTGCAAGAAGCCCCTATCACGAGCCTTTTCCATCCTATGGAGAGGGAGCATGGACATGGGGGTCGTCCCTCAGTTACTAAAAACAACAGACATAGCCCCACTCCACAAAGGGGGCAGTAAAGCAACAGCAAAGAACTACAGACCAATAGCACTAACATCCCATATCATAAAAATCTTTGAAAGGGTCCTAAGAAGCAAGATCACCACCCATCTAGAAACCATCAGTTACACAACCCAGGGCAACATGGGTTTAGAACAGGTCGCTCTGTCTGTCTCAACTACTGGATCACTACGACAAGGTCCTAAATGCACTAGAAGACAAAAAGAATGCAGATGTAATATATACAGACTTTGCAAAAGCCTTCGACAAGTGTGACCATGGCGTAATAGGGCACAAAATGCGCGCTAAAGGAATAACAGGAAAAGTCGGTCGATGGATCTATAATTTCCTCACTAACAGAACACAGAGAGTAGTCGTCAACAGAGTAAAGTCCGAGGCAGCTACGGTGAAAAGCTCTGTTCCACAAGGCACAGTACTAGCTCCCATCTTGTTCCTCATCCTCATATCCGACATAGACAAGGATGTCAGCCACAGCACCGTGTCTTCCTTTGCAGATGACACCGAATCTGCATGACAGTGTCTTCCATTGCAGACACTGCAAGGCTCCAGGCGGACATCAACCAAATCTTTGTGGGCTGCAGAAAACAATATGAAGTTCAACGATGAGAAATTTCAATTACTCAGATATGGTAAACATGAGGAAATTAAATCTTCATCAGAGTACAAAACAAATTTCTGGCCACAAAATAGAGCGAAACACCAACGTCAAAGACCTGGGAGTGATTATGTCGGAGGATCTCACCTTCAAGGACCATAACATTGTATCAATCGCATCTGCTAGAAAAATGAGAGGATGGATAATGAGAACCTTCAAAACTAGGGAGGCCAAGCCCATGATGACACTCTTCAGGTCACTTGTTCTATCTAGGCTGGAATATTGCTGCACTCTAACAGCACCTTTCAAGGCAGGTGAAATTGCCGACCTAGAAAATGTACAGAGAACTTTCACGGCGCGCATAACGGAGATAAAACACCTCAATTACTGGGAGCGCTTTGAGGTTTCTAAACCTGTATTCCCTGGAACGCAGGAGGGAGAGATACATGATTATATACACCTGGAAAATCCTAGAGGGACTAGTACCGAACTTGCACACGAAAATCACTCACTACGAAAGCAAAAGACTTGGCAGACGATGCACCATCCCCCCAATGAAAAGCAGGGGTGTCACTAGCACGTTAAGAGACCATACAATAAGTGTCAGGGGCCCGAGACTGTTCAACTGCCTCCCAGCACACATAAGGGGGATTACCAACAGACCCCTGGCAGTCTTCAAGCTGGCACTGGACAAGCACCTAAAGTCAGTTCCTGATCAGCCGGGCTGTGGCTCGTACGTTGGTTTGCGTGCAGCCAGCAGCAACAGCCTGGTTGATCAGGCGCTGATCCACCAGGAGGCCTGGTCACAGACCGGGCCGCGGGGGCGTTGACCCCCGAAACTCTCTCCAGGTAAACTCCAGGTAATGACGTGTTGTGTTGCAGTTTTATTCGTGTGGGATCTTTAGTGACAACTCTGTGACTAATGACGTGGTTTTGTTGCAGTTTTCTTGTGTGGGTCTTTAGTGACAACTCTGTGACTAATGACGTGTTGTTGTTGCAGTTTTATTCGTGTGGGATCTTTAGTGACAAATCTTTTGACTAATGACGTGTTGTGTTGCAGTTTTCTTCGTGTGGGATCTTTAGTGACAACTCTGTGACTAATGACGTGTTGTGTTGCAGTTTTATTCGTGTGGGATCTTTAGTGACAACTCTGTGACTAATGACGTGTTGTGTTTGCAGTTTTATTCGTGTGGGATTTTTTGTGACAACTCTGTGACTAATGACGTGTTGTGTTGCAGTTTTATTCGTGTGGGATCTTTAGTGACAACTCTGTGACTAATGACGTGTTGTGTTGCAGTTTTATTCGTGTGGGATCTTTAGTGACAACTCTGTGACTAATGACGTGTTGTGTTGCAGTTTTATTCGTGTGGGATCTTTAGTGACAACTCTGTGACTAATGACTTGTGTTGCAGTTTTATTCGTGTGGGATCTTGAGTGACAACTCTGTGACTAATGACGTGTTGTGTTGCAGTTTTATTCGTGTGGGATCTTTAGTGACAACTCTGTGACTAATGACGTGTTGTGTTGCAGTTTTCTTCGTGTGGGATCTTTAGTGACAACTCTGTGACTAATGACGTGTTGTGTTGCAGTTTTATTCGTGTGGGATCTTTAGTGACAACTCTGTGACTAATGACGTGTTGTGTTGCAGTTTTCTTCGTGTGGGATCTTTAGTGACAACTCTGTGACTAATGACGTGTTGTGTTGCAGTTTTCTTCGTGTGGGATCTTCAACATCAGCGAAGGAGCTTTCAAAGGGCTGGAGAACACTCTGGTCAACCTCAACCTGCAAGACAACAGGTTAACAGGTGTGCCCACACCTGCCCTCACCCGTCTTCGTCAACTCAAGCTGCTTGATCTTTCAGGCAACAAGATCACTTCCATCCCTGATGAGGCTTTTAAAGGCCTCCGTCTCTCTACCTTGAAGGTAATTTAAAAATCTCTATCTTGAAGGTCAGTTAAACCTACCATGGAGGCCATTTAAAGGTCTATCTTGAATCCACTTAAGTTTACATTGAAAATTATTTAAAAGTCTACCTTGAAGGTCATTTAAGTCTACATTGAAGGTCATTTAAAGGAACCTTGAGGGTAATTTAAAAGTACCTTGCAGGTAATTTAAAAGTTACACTGAAGCTGTGTTAACTATGATATTACTCGCCTCTCCTCTGATTAATATTCTGGCAACTAACTTACGCAATAATGTATTTCTTGTGAACGTTGAACCACGGAAGGTCATACAGTGATGGTCACATCTGGTCACTAAGATACCTGGTCTTTACAGCTGGCTGACAATGAGCTCTCGCTCTCTGGGCAGAGCTTCAAGGGTCTTGAAGGCTCACTCAAGAATCTTAACTTAAAGGGCACTAAGCTGAGGAATGTGCCCCCAGCACTGAGGAACCTGCCAGTTCTAGCCTTCCTAGATATCGCCCAGAACCAAATACGTAGCCTCGAAGGAGGTGAGTGCTCACCCTCTTATAGTTGCTGGGGGTTGAGGCGTAGGCTCCTCGTCCAGCCTCTAAATATTTGTTTCAATATCTGGTCTTGTGTGTGTGTGTGTGTGTGTGTGTAAGGGGTGGAATGGAGAGGTTTGGGAAGGAGGGGAAGGAGAAGGAAGGGAGGGAAAGTGGGGAGGGAGTGTGGGTGCTGCAAGAGAAACTGGTTCATGAGATGGTTTTTCTGAGATGGAAATTGTCAAGGTTCATCTCACTCGTGGTTCCTGTGTGACCAGCCTCGTATACATCAGTTATGTGATACCGACAAGATGAAGAATTAGACAAATGTGAAACATCTGGGTATATTTGTAGATGTTTCGCCAACCAGTGGCTTTATCAGTACAAGGATATAATGTGAAGACTGTAGAACTATATACAAAAGATGAGGTAATCAGTCCCTCGGCCTTGTAGTTGGTGACACCTTTCAATAATGCCCCAAAGACTCTCCCTTTTTCAGAGAACACCAATTTTAAAAACCTTCTCCTCTTTGCCGGTGTTGGTGCAGGAGCTCTGAGGAACCTGCACTCCCTCACGGCTCTCAACATCGAGAGGAACCTCCTGCAGACGCTCCAGGTCAAGGACTTCGCTGGCGTCAACGACACCCTCAGTTCACTCTCCCTCCTCAACAACCTCATCACAGACTTCCCCACCGAGGCTCTCAACACACTCACTGAACTACGGGTGAGTACGTAACATTCACTGAATTACGGGTGAGTACATAAAATTCACTCAACTACGGGTGAGTACGTAACATTCACTCAACTACGTGTACGTAATATTCACTCAACTACGGGTGAGTACTTATCATTTAATTTGCAACGGTATTAGATACGCTCACGGTGTGCTAGTACACTATTCTGTGTGACAGTTATGTGGTGGGAGCACTCGTACTAGTGTGTATGATAGTTACATGGTGGGAACACTCGTACTAGTGTGTATGATAGTTACATGGTGGGAACACTCGTACTAGTGTGTATGATAGTTACATGGTGGGAACACTCGTACTAGTGTGTATGATAATGACATGGGGGAATACTCGTACTAGTGTGTATGATAGTTACATGGTGGGAACACTCGTACTAGTGTGTATGATAGTTACATGGTGGGAACACTCGTACTAGTGTGTATGATAGTTACATGGTGAGAACACTCGTACTAGTGTGTGTGATAGTTACATGGTGGGAACACTCGTACTAGTGTGTATGATAGTTACATGGTGAGAACACTCGTACTAGTGTGTGTGATAGTTACATGGTGAGAACACTCGTACTAGTGTGTATGATAGTTACATTGTGGGAACACTCGTACTAGTGTGTATGATAGTTACATGGTGGGAACACTCGTACTAGTGTGTATGATAGTTACATGGTGAGAACACTCGTACTAGTGTGTATGATAGTTACATGGTGGGAACACTCGTACTAGTGTGTGTGATAGTTACATGGTGGGAACACTAATACTAGTATGATAGTTACATGGTGGGAACACTCGTACTAGTGTGTATGATAGTTACATGGTGGGAACACTCGTACTAGTGTGTATGATAGTTACATGGTGGGAACACTAGTACTAGTGTGTATGATAGTTACATGGTGGGAACACTCGTACTAGTGCGTATGATATTTACATGGTGGGAACACTAGTACTAGTGTGTATGATAGTTACATGGTGGGAATACTAGTACTAGTGCGTATGATAGTTACATGGTGGGAACACTAGTACTAGTATGATAGTTACATGGTGGGAACACTCGTACTAGTGTGTATGATAGTTACATGGTGGGAACAACTAGTATAGTGCGTATGATAGTTACATGGTGGGAACACTAGTACTAGTGTGCATGATAGTTACATGGTGGGAACACTCGTACTAGTGTGTATGATAGTTAAATGGTGGGAACACTAGTACTAGTGCGTATGATAGTTACATGGTGGGAACACTAGTACTAGTGTGTATGATAGTTACATGGTGGGAACACTAGTACTAGTGTGTGTGATAGTTACATGGTGGGAACACTAGTACTAGTGTGTATGATAGTTACATGGTGGGAACACCCGTACTAGTGTGTATGATAGTTACATGGTGGGAACACTAGTACTAGTGTGTATGATAGTTACATGGTGGGAACACTCGTACTAGTGTGTATGATAGTTACATGGTGGGAACACTAGTACTAGTGCGTATGATAGTTACATGGTGGGAACACTAGTACTAGTGTGTATGATAGTTACATGGTGGGAACACTAGTACTAGTGTGTATGATAGTTACATGGTGGGAACACTAGTACTAGTGTGTATGATAGATACATGGTGGGAACACTAGTACTAGTATGATAGTTACATGGTGGGAACACTAGTACTAGTGTGTATGATGGATGGTGGGAACACCCGTACTAGTATGATAGTTACATGGTGGGAACACTAGTACTAGTGTGTATGATAGTTACATGGTGGGAACACCCGTACTAGTATGATAGTTACATGATGAGAACACTCGTACTAGTATGATAGTTACATGGTGGGAACACTCGTACTAGTATGATAGTTACATGGTGGGAACACCCGTACTAGTGTGTATGATAGTTACATGGTGGGAACACCCGTACTAGTATGATAGTTACATGGTGGGAACACTCGTACAAGTATGATAGTTACATGGTGGGAACACTCGTGTACTAGTGTGTATGATAGTTACATGGTGGGAACACTAGTACTAGTGTGTATGATAGTTACATGGTGAGAACACTAGTACTAGTGTGTTTGAGTTACATGGTGGGAACACTCGTACTAGTGTGTATGATAGTTACATGGTGGGAACACTCGTACTAGTGTGTATGATAGTTACATGGTGGGAACACTCGTACTAGTTTGTATGATAGTTACATGGTGAGAACTCTAGTACTAGTGTTTTTGATAGTTACATGGTGGGAACACTCGTAATAGTGTGTTTGATAGTTACATGGTGGGAACACTCGTACTAGTGTGTTTGATAGTTACATGGTGGGAACACTCGTAGTAGTGTGTATGATAGTTACATGGTGGGAACACTCGTACTAGTGTGTATGATAGTTACATGGTGGGAACACTCGTACTAGTGTGTATGATAGTTACATGGTGGGAACACTCGTACTAGTGTGTATGATAGTTACATGGTGGGAACACTAGTAGTAGTGTGTATGACAGTTACATGGTGGGAACACTAGTACTAGTATGATAGTTACATGGTGAGAACACTCGTACTAGTGTGTATGATAGTTACATGGTGGGAACACTCGTACTAGTGTGTATGATAGTTACATGGTGAGAACACTAGTACTAGTGTGTATGATAGTTACATGGTGGGAACACTAGTACTAATGTGTATGATAGTTACATGGTGGGAACACTAGTACTAGTGTGTATGATAGTTACATGGTGAGAACACTCGTACTAGTGTGTATGATAGTTACATGGTGGGAACACTAGTACTAGTGTGTATGACAGTTACATGGTGGGAACACTAGTACTAGTGTGTATGATAGTTACATGGTGGGAACACTCGTACTAGTGTGTATGATAGTTACATGGTGAGAACATAGTATAGTGTGTATGATAGTTACATGGTGGGAACACTAGTACTAGTGTGTATGATAGTTACATGGTGGGAACACTAGTACTAGTGTGTATGATAGTTACATGGTGGGAACACTAGTACTAGTGTGTACGATAGTTACATGGTGGGAACACTAGTACTAGTGTGTATGATAGTTACATGGTGGGAACACTCGTACTAGTGTGTATGATAGTTACATGGTGGGAACACCCGTACTAGTATGATAGTTAAATGGTGGGAACACTCGTACTAGTGTGTATGATAGTTACATGGTGGGAACACTTAATGTGCTACTGCACTATTCTGTCATGGTTAAGGAGGCCCAATCAGCACAGGTCTTAATGAAGAAGACCAGTCAGCGCACGCCACGTCATAGTGTAGACGACCAATGAACATAACACCTGCCCAAGTGCTCATTGATTCCCAGATCATGTCTGCGAGAGAAACGTTGAACGTTTTATTACCCCCCCCCCCCACCCCTACGAGGTGTGGGTTGGGGACGCTGTATGTTCTCACTAGATTCTGAGATGAGAGGGAGAAAGGTGAGGCAGGAGAACCATCACATATTGATAAAGCCTCCTCACAATCAAAGAGACCAGAGTTCGATTTCCAGGCTGCCCATTTTCCAAATAGTGTAAATAATAATAGTGGCGTGTAAATTATAGTGTAAACACGTCTTAACGAACCCGGTTAGTGACGGGCAACTCCGGGTTCACGATCTCACTGATTCTGTCCGTTACCATGTAAACTGGTCCTCAGACCTTGTGCACTCACCTAGTTGTGGTTGCAGGGGTCGATTCACACCTCCTGGCCCTGCCTTTTCACTGATCGCTGCTAGTTTCACTCTCTCCCAGCTCCGCGAGCTTTATCATACCTCTTCTTAAAGCTATGTATGGATCCTGACTCCAATACATCACTCTCCAGATTGTTCCAATTCCTGACAACTCTATGACTGAAGAAGTACTTCCTAATATCCCTGTGACTCATCTGAGTCTTTAAATTCCAATTGTGACCCCTTGTTGCTGTGTCACATCTCTGGAACATCCTGTCTCTGTCCACCTTGTCGAGTCCTCTCAGTATTTTATATGTCGTTATCATGTCCCCCCATCCCTTCTGTCGCGCGCGCGCGTGTGTGTGTGTCGAGCCTTAGCTCCTGGCACCTGTGTGTTTGGCAGAACCAGAGACCAGGAGCAAGAGCTAAAAGCTAGAGTTGCTGGTCGGAAAATGCAATAAATACCACTTGTTTATGCTACTACTACTAATAATAATAATGCTAGGTGTGTGAGCCAGATGGAGGAGAGCCTTATGGTTTTCTTTTCTATGTAATTACCGTTTTGTTCATTTTATCTCTTTACTGTTCATTATCTCTGTTCATATATTGATTCTTGGGGGTGAAGGGGGTGGGGTGGGTGGCTCCCTGGGTGGGGTTGGGGTGAACGTGGGAGGTGGGCGGGACCTGATATGTTCTGCAAGATACCCGGAAGTAGTGGGTTTCCGGCTTCCCTCAACCCACCCTGAGGCCTCTCTAACCCTCCCTCTACCCACCCTGAGACCTCTCTAACCCGCCCTCAACCCACCCTGAGACCTCTCTAACCCGCCCTCAACCCACCCTGAGACCTCTCTAACCCGCCGTCTACCCACCTGAGACTCTCCAACCGCCTTCACCCACCCTGAGACCTCTCCAACCCGCCCTCAACCCACCCTGAGACCTCTCCAACCCGCCCTCAACCCACCCTGAGACCTCTCCAACCCGCCTTCAACCCACCGGAGACCTTCCAACCGGCCTTTCTACCCACCTGAGACCTCTCTAACCCGCCTCAACCCACCCTGAGTCTCTCCATCCGCCCTCTTAACCCACCCTGAGGACTCTCCAACCCGCCTTCAAACCCACCCTATGACATCGTCTTAGCCGCCCTCTACCACACCTGTGCACCCTGCTCCAACCCGACCTCATAACCTCCTGGAGACGCCTCTCTAATCCCGCTCCCTCAATCCTCCTCCTGAGATCATCGGTTGATCCGCCTCAACCACACCTCCTGAGACCTCGCTCCTTACCCGCCCTCACCCACCCTGATGACCTCTCTCTAAC